CAGGGTCTCCCTGTAGCCCCAGCTGTCCTGGAACTCACTTTGTAGACCAGGCTGGTCTTGAACTCACAGAGATCCGCCTGCCTCTGCCTCCCAAGTGCTTGTTTCTCATTTCTTTCACTTAAAAAGTTCATTCATATGGTAATATGTATCAGCATTTCCTTTTCATAACCAAACAGTATTCCATAGTATAAATATACCACATTTTATTAATATACTAATTACTTGATAGATATTTAGACTATTTCCACTTTTTGGCTATTGTGAGTAATGCTGTTTTCTTAACCTGAGTAATTATGAACAACGCTCACAGTTCTAGAGACTTTGAAGTCCAAGATTAAAAAACCAGCAGATTCTGTCTGGTGAGGGTTGCATGCTCTCCATGTCATAGATGGTTCCTTTTACCTGTACTGTCATATTGTGATGGGATGAAAAGTACTCTAGATCTTTCATAAGGGCGCTAATCCCGTACATGAAGAGGGACCCCTTAAGGCCTAATCATCTCTCAGTGAGGACCATACTGGGAATCAGGATTGACAAATGAACTTGAGGGGAGCACAAGCATTCACACAGTGGTAACAGCAGTGAACACTAGACATGTTTATATGATCATGCTCTTTTTTATAATGTAAAAAGTCTATGTGTATGAATGTTTTGTTTACATGTATATAAGTGCACCTGTGTCCTGCAATATATGCAGAGGCCAGAAAGAGGACGTTGGATCCCCTGGTAATTAGCCACCATGTGGGTGCTAAGAACCAAACCCAGGGCCTCTACAAGAGCAGCCAGTGCTCCTAACCACTGAAACGACCCTCTAGACTGGTTTCAGTTCTTTTTGCATTTGCACATATATCTGGAAGTAGGATTGCTTGCTCATATGATAATTCAACATTTAATTATCTGGGAAATTGTCATACTCCTTCAGGGTGGTGTACCATTTTCCATTTGCACCTGCAATGTAAGAGTACCAGTTTCAGTTTCTCCTTATCCTCACCAACACCTAATTTCCTTCTTTTAATGGTAGCAATCTTATTGGTTATGAAGTATGATCTCATTGTGATACTGTTTTGTTTTTGCAGTATGATTTTTTGTTTGTTGGGTTTTTTTTTAATGTGTATTGCCCACATGTATGTAAGTGCACCCATGCTCCACAGCAGTCAGAAGTGGGCTTTGGATCCCCTGAAACTGGAGTTACAGAAGGTTGTTAGCTGTCTCTGGATGCTGGGAACCAAACTGAACCCAGGTCCTCTGCAAGACCAGCCAGGGCTCTTAACTGCTAAGCCGTCTCTCCAGCCTGTTTTTGGTTTTTAGTGGGGTTTTGTTTTTGCTTTTGTTCTGAGATAGGGTCTCCCTGTAGCCCCCAGCTTCCTGGAAAGGGGGTCTAGGGCCTTTTGTATTACTCTGATAAGAAGTGTGTTGTCTTCTTTGCCTGGTCATATAAATTAGTATTTTGGGATCTCCCTGCACAGTTACCCTGGGTGTTCCCTTTGTCTCTTCCTGCATAGATCTGCTGATTCCTGTACTCCCTCTCCTCCTTTGTTCCTGGTGTTCTGAAATTGCACTGGGAGGTTCTTAGTGTGGACTTACTTTGTCTATTGTACTGTTAGGTAGACGATTTGGAAATTCATGCCCTTGAGAGTGGGAAGTTTTGTTAAGTTACTGTTGTTTGTTTGGCTTCTCCATTTTATCTGATTGCTTTCTAAATTATAATTTGGATGTTGAGTGATGGAGTGGTAGGCTTTCCTTTTTTATTTGATTGTTTCTTTTTCTTTCACATTCTGAGAGACAGCCTCAATTTCATTGACCAATACTTTTCTTGAGTTTTAAAGTTTTCTTGTAGTCATGTTTTGTATATAATAATTTTTGTTTTGTTTTTGTTGTGTTTGAGACAGGGTCTCATGTAGTCCAGGCTGGCATCAAACTATATAGCCAAGGATGACCTTGAACTTTTGATCCTCTGCCTTCACCTCCTACCACCAATACTATGCCTGATTTGTGTAGGACTGGGGATGGAACCCAGGGCTTTAACAATATCTTATGATATTTTAAGAGATTCATTTATTTTTATTTATGTGTATGAGTGTTTTACCTACATGTATGTATAATATACCATGTGTGTACCTGTGCCTAGTGAGTCCAGAAGAGGGCATCACATCCTCTGGAACTGAAATTACAGGCATTTGTGAGTTGCCATGTGGGTGATGGGAACTAAACCCAGGTCCTCTGCATAGGAGTCCTTCTTAGAATATTTTTTGAGAATATTAATAATATGCTTTATTCAAAGTAATTTTTTTCCTTTTATGTGTTCTGTTTTCACCAAATTGCTTTTCTTTTTCCTTTTCATTTTATTCTGTCTTCTATGTTAGTAGATTTCCTTAGATGCTTATAAGCCCCTCCACACTTAACAATAAAGGAAATAAAATGTAGAAGCTTTGACCATAGTGGTAGAATAATTGACCGTGAACTTCAGTATGGAGTTATCTCACAGACCATTCAGTTGGGAACTTTTCTAGGTCTGTATCTTTAAGTGTTTCCTTCTAAATGGACAAATTCCCAAGAGAAAACTCTTCTAGTTTCTTAAACTACTGGGTTAGCTGGTGGCATTCTACTGGCCAAGTGAGGAAAGAGAGCTTGGGGTCTGAATATATAATAAGGCATATTTCACTCAGTCTTCCTCTTTTCAATGTGCTGTCAGCCCGTATCCCCACACCTCTCACACACACACACACACACACACACACACACACACACACACACACTACATCACATTTCTACCTCATGGCTCTCAAGTGGAGGTTCTTATCCTTCGAGAAAGAAGATCTTCACTCTTACCTAGATGTATAAAGGAGACAGGATTTAAAGATATGACTACTTTCAAATAAGAATTTCAGCTTAATTTTAAATTTTATGTGTATGAGTGTTTTGCCTGCATGGATGTTAGTGCACCACATGCGTGCAGTCCCACCGAGGCCAAAAGCAGGTGTTGGAACTGGAGTTAGGGACAGTTGTTAGCCACCATGTGAGTGCTTGGAATCTAACCTGGGTCCTCTGCAAGAATAAGAATAGTTCTTAGCCACTGAGCCATCTTCTAGCCTCTCAACTTAATTTTTCAAAAAATTTTATGTGTATGAGTATTTTGTCTGCATCTATGTTTTGTACCCGTGCATGCAGTGCCCATGGAGGCCAGAAGAGGGTGTCAAATCCCCTAGAACTGGAGTTAAGAATAGCTGTTGTGTGGGTGCTGGGAACTGAATACAGGTCCTCTGCAAGAGCAGCCAGTGCTCTTACCTGCTTTTCCAGTTTAGCCCCTCAACAATTTTTAACTCTCATCAAAAAATGGCTATATTCTTACAAAAAAAACTGAAAACTGTAATAGTTTTCATGTACACATCATCATCCATATGAAGTTTTTTAGAAATACAACTTCCTTGGGTCCTGCCTCTAGAGATTTTTAAGGGGGTCATTGAGGCTGAGAATTTATTTGTGGTATGGTTTTTGAGACCGCCTTAGTACAAGACAGGATGCTATAGTTATCTGATAGAGCAATCATGAGGATTATTATTAAAGCATTGCTATAACCATTCAGTAAAACATTTACTATAAGTACATAGTAAAAATAATTGTAATAATTTTCCATTATTTTTTCTAGGTTTGAAGTCCTGAGTTTTCTAATGCTATGTTATAATTCTGCTATTGTGTATATGCCTGCCTCGTCTTACCAATCTCTTTGTCGAATGGGCTCCAGGTGAGAAGAGTGATTATTGCTAGCTTTCATATTCAATGATTTATTTGGAAATATTAATTGAGCATACTTTCTATGCCAGGCACTGTTCTAACTTCTCATGATACAGTAATAAATAAAACACATGGAGTTTACTTGCTATAGGAATGAAAATTATTTTGACATTAAGTGAGATATTTCCTAGCTGAACAAGAGTTAGGTTAAGTCACCTAAGTTTAGGATCTTTTGGCCATACACCTAATCACTCCCTGGATGCCATTTTTTATAAATGATGTTGGGAGTTTTGAATAGACCTGTGTTTGGGAGAAACCTTTAGAATGTGACTCTTGGGGCTAGAGAGGTGGCTCAGCAGTTAAGAGCACTGACTGCTCTTGCAAAGAACTTGGGTTTGGTTCCCAGCATCCACATGACAGCTAACAACCTTCTGTAACTCCTGTTCCAGGGGATCTGGTGCCCTCTTCTGGCCTCCACAGGTATACATGGCACAAGTATACTTGCACACATACAAGCAAAACACTCATACACATAAGATAAAATTTAAAAGTATTAAAAAACAAAAAAAGAATGTACATTTTTTTTTCTTTGTACATTTTTTTGTTTGTTTGAAGTAGGGCCTTATGAAGCCCAGGCTAGCCTTAAAGTCCTGATCGTCTAGCCCCCACCTCCCAAATGTTGGGATTATAGGCTTGCTCCTCTATATATTTTATAAATAATTATTTGTATTGGAGAAGATTACTTTTAGGCCAGTTATCTGTGTGATGGAAAAGAGGGTATCCTATGTGTGCCATGGATTATAATCTTTTTTAAATTCGAAGGGAGGCAGAGGCAGGCAGATCTCTGTGAGTTCAAGACCAGCCTGGTCTACATAGCAAGTTCCAGGCCAGCTGGGACTACAAGGAGACCCTGTCTCAAAATAAGACCAAAAAAAAAAAAAAAATAGAATTTCTGATAGCAAGTTTGGCTGAAATTTAAATTTCTACTATAGAAAAATATTTAAGTAATATAAATTAGAGTCACAGAATTTTAGTTCCGAGTTTATGCTATCCAGCTGACTTTTCACTTCAGGAAACTGAGCCTTCTCAAAAGTTAAATGATAAACATTCTCTTTCTGTTACTACATAACAAATTCCTGGGCCAGTAAGATGGCTCAGCAGACAAAAGAGCTTGCTGAGCAACCCTTATGATGTGAATTTGAGTACAGCCTAAGTAAAAAAAGCTGGGCGTGGAAGTTCACATCTGTAATCCCAGCACTACTATGTGGAGGTTCAAGGAGGCTTGTAGGTGCAGCACAATGGCAGAAATAGCAAGAGAGACCCTGCCTCAACACAATTGCCACTAGCTTAGCAGCTCAAAACATCACACATTTATTATTTCACATTTTCTATCGGATAGGAATCTAGGTGGCAACCTATCTGAGTCCTCTGTTGAGGATTTTTTTTTTTTTTTAATTGGCTATGTAGCCCTGGCTGGTCTAGAACTTGCTATATGGACCAGGCTTGCCACAGACTCACTGAGATCCCCCAGCCTCTGCTTCCTGAGTGCTGGGGTTAAAGGTATGCACCACCATATGTGGCAGCTTAGGGGTCTTTTAAGGCTATACAGTAAGGCTGTTAGATTCAGGAGTTTAAAGTTAAGAAATAAGAACCAGAGCCAGACCTGCAACAGGCAAGGAATGTGTCCTTTTATTCAGAGGACACAGCAGAGGACAGAAACCTTTCCATGTGAAGAAGGAATCTGCATTGAAGTGAGGGGCGGTTTGGACTTGTATAGGAACTCTCTTGTACACAGCTGCAAGAGTTAACTCGGTGCCAGTATCTGGTGACCTTAAGGGTCTCTCTCCCAAGATTATTTTCTCAGGCAGGCAAACTATCTTAGGGTACTAAATGATACAGATTTGCTCCATAAACAGCCTCCTTCAGTCCAGAAGTGACTAGTTGATAAGACTTGAGCAATGCTAGGCTGCCAATTTAGAGCCAGTTAGCCACTTTAAGGGATTTGTGGTTTTCCCTAATGAGGCTTGTGGTTCTTCTGCAATTTACACACTCTTATCAAAGGACATCTGGAATTGTTGTCTCAATCTGAACTTGATACTTGTTGGCAGAATTCTGTTCCTAGAGTTGTAGAACTGTAGGGTTGTTTGTTTGTTTGTTTGTTTGTTTTGGTCCTTTTGAGACAGGGTCTTCCTGAAGCCCCCAGTTGGCCTGGAACTCACAAAGATCTGCCTCATTCTGCCTCCTGAATGCTAGAATTAAAGGCATATGCCACCATGCCCAGCTAGGACTGTAGGTTTTCATATTTTGCTGAAATATAAGTTCCTAAATTTAAGCTTCTGGAGTCTATTCTCACTTTTATGCCACATGGGCCTCCTTGGGTAGGCAGAGGCAGGTGGTCTGGTCTACACAGCAAGTTCCAGGCCAGCCATGGCTACATAGTGAGACCCTGACTCAAAAAACAATTAAAAAGTCCCAACCCTTGGGAGGCAGAGGCAGGCAGATCTCTGTGAAATCGAGGCCAGCCTGAAATCGTGGCCATAGGCAGACTGGGACTAGGGAGACCCTGTCAAAAGAAAACAAAACAAAAGTATATAAATACAAATTGCAGTTTGAAAATTGCATTATATTGATAACATTATTGGCACATCTATAATCTCAGCACTCAAGAGACAGAAATGGTTATATAACAAATACACATATTTCATATTGCTTAAATAAAAGCACTAAAACATTAAATAATAGTGACTTCATAGTAGTATTTTGAAATGTGTGTTTTAAGATTTATATACTATCTAGTAATCCATTGATACAATTAGGGATGAATAAAAGTTATACATTGGTATATGCGAGAGCGAGAGAGAGAGGAGGAGGAGGAAAAAAAATCTCTGTGGAAGAGGTTGTTAGCTATTTGAGAAAAGTTGTTAACTTTTATTGATAAAGCTCACCAGAATAGATTGCTTTATGAATAAAGACATGTTTTAGGCCAGGCGTGGTGGCGCACACCTTTAATCCCAGCACTTGGGAAGCAGAGGCAGGTGGATCTTTGTGAGTTCGAGGCCAGCCTGGTCTACATAGTGAGTTCCAGGACAGCTGGGGCTACAGGGAGGCCCTGCTTCAAAAAGACAAAAAAGAAAAAAAGACATGTTTTAGTAAACAAAATCAAACTTTTATGTATTCATGACTACATCCTAAACCTAGAACGCTGACTGGCATAGAGCAGGTATTGATATTTGAGGAATGGATAACTGAATTTACAGAAGCATACTATTATATTTTATCAGCCAGGAAATCACGTTAAATGCTTTATTTCCTAGGGTTTGTGTGAGTGGCTTTCCACGACAACATGAGAAACAGTGGAAGGAACTCTGTGGTCGAATAGCATTGGATCCTGAATTTATGGTGCAGCTTCTCACAGGAGTTTATTATGCCATGTAAGTAGGAGGAATATGAAATTGTTTGAGCTATTCCTTATCAGATACAATATAGAATCTTTTGTTCCGTGATAGAGCTGTTACCTTGTCTTCCAAATACAGTTTCCTTTCAGTACTTTCAAAATAGCCAATTAATAATACAAGGTATTATTAAAATTATTTAATTAGTCATTAAAATTAGAGTCATCTTAGAAATCATTAGGTTTTCTAGTGATAAACTGTAATCTCTATATAGTTCATAATCCTTGTTCTCATGAATACTTTAAATAGATGGCTCTGAATAGGAATAAATGATTTATGTGAACAAACATCTGTAAACTGTATTAAACATAGATTTGAAATCTTCATTTAAATTTTTTTACTTTCTTTAATGATTCATTTTTAATAGTTTGTTATTTTTATATGTATGTTTGTATTGCCTGTGTGTAGGTAGTAAGTACACCCATGTCATGCAATGCTCACAGAGGACAAAAGAGGCTGTTAAATCCCCTGGAACTGGAGTTACGGACAATTATTAGCTTCCGTGTGGGTGCTGGGATTCAAACCCAGGTCTCCTGCAAGAACATTCAGTGTTCTTAACTGCTGAGCCATCTCTCCAGCCCCTGTTTTTACTGTTTTTATGTGTGTGAGTATTTTGCCTGATGTGTGTAAGTGCACACTTGTGTGCAGGTGCTTGAAGAGGCCAGAAGAGGGCATCAGATCCCCTGGAACTGGAGTTAAAGATGATTGTTAGCTGCCATATGGGTGCTGGAAACCAAACCCAGGTCTTCTGCAAGAGCAGGCAGTGCTCTTAACTGCTGAGCCATCTCTCCAGCCCCTGAACTCTCGATTTTGTTATTATAAACAAAACAGGTGTGGTATTGCATGTCTTTGTTCCTAGCACTCAAGACAGGTAGATTTCTGTGAGTTCAAGGCTAGCAGGCTAGCTTGGTCTACATAGTGAGTTCCAGGACAGCTGGGGCTACAGGGAGACCCTGTCTCAAAAAGACCAAAAGGAAAAAAAAAAAAAGACACCCCCACCCCGGAAAAAAAGAAATGAAAGGATAAAAATTTTGATAAAAAGTCTTGTTTTATAGCCAATGTCGTGGATCTTAGAACAGTTTTTAAATACTTATTTTTATTTTACATGTATGAGTGTATTGCCTGCATGTATGTAAGTGCACCTGTGTCATGCACTGCACTGCAAAGAACAGAAGAAGGTGCCAGATCCCTAGAACTGGAGTTACAGACAGTTGTTCACTGCCATGTGGGTGCTTAGACTCAAACCCAGGTCCTCTGGAAGAAAAGCAAGTGTTCTTAACCACTGAGCCATCTCTCCAGCCCCTGGAACAGTTTTTAAAAGTGCTGAAAATGGGGCTGGAGAGATGACTCAGCAATTAAGAGCACTGGCTGTTCTTGCAGAAGACCAGGGTTTGAAACACAGCACCCACATGGCAGCTAACAACTGTCATCTCCAGTTCCAGGGGATTAGATGCCCTCTTCTATCCTCCATGGGCACTACACGACATGGGTACATGCAGGCATAACACTCAAACACATAAAATCAAAAAATAAGTAAATCAAAAAGAAATTTTTTAAAAAGTGCTGAAAATGAGAGATATATGTTAAAAGTGATCTCTTTTCCACAGGTATAATGGACAGTGGGATCTTGGCCAGGAAGTACTTGACGACATCATTTATAGAGCTCAACTAGAACTCTTTTCTCAACCACTCTTGGTAACTTAGTTTTTGTTTTTTTGTTTTTCTTTCATGAAGAATAGAGGTTTATTTAGGTCATAGTTCTGGGGGTGTACTGACTATTTTTAAAACATGTCTATGCTAAAAAAAATGGTCCTATGGGGTAGCAGGCAGGGGAAGTTTTCAGATAAATTGAAGAATGAAATGTTTTTAAATCTTTTTAGAACAGAGAAAAACAAGCTAAGTGTAGTGCCTTATACTCATAATACCACCACATGGATGTAGGAGGCCTGGACTATATACTTATACTTGTAATACCACCAAGTTTGAGGATGGCCTGGACTATATGAGTTCCAAACTGGCCTCGACTATAGAGTTAATAAGAAAGAGAGTACAGCTTTTTAAATATTTATTCAGCTATCCAGAACAAGAAAGATTCTTTAAGAGTAAGTAAAATCTTCATTTTGTTTCTATAATCCAAACTAGAACAGCTTAGAAATGAAATGGTCACTAAAAAGCAATTACTTTTCCCACATAAGCGCATGTAAATTTTAAATCATTAACTTTTTTTGATGTCTTGATCTGTTTATATGATGTTCAAGAAACTGACAAAATTAAATTGCATGTAAGTGATTACATTATGAAGTAAAATAAGGAAACAATTAGGATAAAAGTAAGAAAAGTCACATCTGAGGAATTTCTTGACCCATGGAGGTGCAGAAGCAGTGTAAACAGGAGGTTGGAGGTGACAGGAGGTTGAAGTCAATAAGGACTTTAGGTTTTCAGTCTCCAAGAAGGACTATGGCTCTGCCAGCATGGTGATTTTTAGCCCTGGGAGACCTGTGTCACGCTTGTAACACACAGAAGTATAAAATCAATAACTTTTTTTAATGCAAAATTAATGTACAGAACAAAAACAAAAAAAAATAGTCCCTGTAGGCATGATAAGAAAAGCCCAATTACAAACTTACTCTGTTTAAAATTTCCTGCTTCCCAACAAATCAGTAAATGCCTAAAAATGTAAATCATCAATTAAAAGACAAATGTATGAAATGATTCAGCAGATAAAGACTCTTGCTGCCAAGCCTTATGACCTGAGTTCAGTCCCAGAACTCATATGGTGGAAGGAGAGAACTGACTCTCCCAAGTTGTCCTCTGACCTCCACATGCATTCCATGGCATATGTGCACGCACACATGCACGCACACGTGCACACACACACACACACACACGTAAATAAATATAAAAACATAAAAAAAACAAAAAACAAATTAAGAACCAGCAATATGGCCCAGAAGGCAAAGACACTTGCCTAGAACCCATGTAAAGGTGGAAGGAGAGGTGTTGGAGAAATGCTTCAGTGGTTAAGAGCACTTGCTGTCTTCTCTCAGAAGACCTGAATTTGGTTCCCAGGACCCACATGGCAGCTAACAACCATCTGTAACTCCAGCTCCAGGATCCAACTCCTTCCTCTGTCCTTTGCAGGCAGTGCAAGCAAGCATGTGGTACACTTACATACATGCAAGCTAAACACTCATAAAATTTATTTTTAATTTTTTAATTCTTCAAGGCAAAACAGACTTTACTGGTTTTCTTTGGTATCTGGTAGCACTTGGGAAGGGCTCACTAGGTCTCTATAGTGTCTTGTTTTCAGGCAGACACTAGTGCTGCTGTAGCTTTTAAGGCCTTTCTTTTTTCTTTTGGTCTTTTTAATCTTTTTGAGACAGGGTAGCTGTAGCTACAGCTGACCTGGAACTTGCTATGTATACTAGACTGGCCTCAATCTCACAGAGATCGGCCTGCCTGTGCCTCCCGAGTGCTGGAATTAAAGGCATGCACCACCATGCCCAGCTTCCTTCAGCTTTTGTACTGCCTGGAAAACCTAAATGCACAGAGCCTTCATGGCCAGGAAGGGGTGATGGACCTTTTGGAAATGAAGAGGAGGAATGGTCTGTTCAATTTCTACCTCCCTTCATGCCCTCTCAAAGACATCATAGTTGGTCCTCGCTCATCTTTTTCCTTTGGTTGGCATCTGTGGGCTTTGTCCTTTCAGTGTTTCTACATGTATTCTTCATAATGGTGGATCTTGACTATCAAGGCAACAATTCAAGCCTCCAGAATCTGTTGTCCTCAAGGTTTTCAGTCATCTTGTTCATTAACTATTCTTGCTTGATTTTTAGCTTCTCTTTCTGGATGGCCATTTCCTAAGATAGACTCTTTTCACAACATCATCAACCTTCCCCATGCCAGGGATGACGTCCTTGTAGTCTTTGATGAGTGTGGAAGGGGATAGTTCATTGTGTTGGTTGGGCTGGACTGATTCCTGGATGACACATGCATGCAAGAGACTGGCAGCAGGGAGCAGACTGGAACCTGCATCAATCACTTCCTGGGCATGAACCAAACTCATTGCCAGCCACGTGGCCCACAGCATGGTGACTCCTGACCCTGTGATCATGCACAGTTACATGGGTGCTGCCATGATAGCTCAGGCTCCTAAATAAAATAAAGTGTGGAAGAAGAGAACCAGCTACATAAACTTGTCCTCTATCTCCATGTGGGCACAGTTGCATGCACCAACACACACACACACACACACACACACACACACACACACACCATGCCTATATCCACACAGAACAGTATTTATTTATGGTTAAGAACAATTTTATTATATTAGAGTTTAAAAAAGAAACCCCCCCCCCAAGGCCGGACATGGTGGCACATGCCTTTAATCCTACCAGAGGCAGGTGGATCTCTGTCAGTTCAAGGCTAGCCTGGTCTACATAGTAAGTTCCAGGCCAGCTGGGGCTACAGGGAGACCCTGTCTCAAAAAAAAAAAATGGTTTTTGAGACAGGGTTTCACTATGTAGGCCTGGCTGTCCTAGAACTATATAGAATAAGACTCTCTTGCCTCTCCCTCTACTGGGATTAAAGGTATGGGCCATCACATACCTCACAAGCTATAAATCTCACTCCCTGGAGAAGGAAAATGGAGGAGAAGGCCAAAATCCATGCCCTTTTTTTTTTTTTTTTTTGAGACAGGGTCTCCCTGTAGCCCCAGCTGTCCTAGAACTCACCATGTAGACCAGGCTGGCCTTGAGCTCACAGAGATCCCCCTGCCTCTGCCTCCTGAGTGCTGGGATTAAAGGCATGTGCCACTATGCCTGGTCTAAAACCCATGCCTTTTAAAGCCAGGTTGAAGGTCAGACACATGATGGACTAGAAGCCACATGGGAGAGTAGGGAGCTTTAAAGGAAGAATAAGGAAGCCCAGAAATGTTGAGGAAGCACCAAAGTATTAGGAAAAGACATAGAAGAAAAGGAAAGGTTATACTTTTCTGAATTCTTCAGAAAAGCAGGCAGACTTATAAAGTTGCAATAAAAAATTTTTAAATGACTGACTGACTCTGCAGAAGCAGCTTGTGTTTATTTTCTTAGATTCTGTATCCTGTCTCTGGCATTGTATCCCAGGAAACTAATACCTTTAAAAAGTATTAAAAGTACAACATTGCAGTGTTGGGTTTTTTTGTTTGTTTGTTTGTTTGTTTGTCTGTTTTTTGAGATAGGGTCTCTCTGTAGCCCCAGCTGTCCTGGAACTCACTATGTAGAGCAGACTGGCCTCAAACTCACAAAGATTCACCTGCCTCTGCCTCCCGCGCTGGGAGTAAAGGCGTGTGCCACCACACCCAGCTGCAGTGTTATTTTTGATTGCAAAGGAATGAAACAAATGTTCCACTACAAAGAACAATTGAAGTTTTATATTTCCTTGATTAAATTGTATATTTGAGAATTTATATTAAAGAAAAAATTTATATTAAGAAAAAATGCTAGCTTCTTTTAAGTAAAAAAAAAAAAAAAACTTTACAGCTATTTTAAATCTGCAACTGAAAAAGCCAGGCATGGTGGCTCACCCCTATAGTCCCAGCACTTGGGAGGCAGAGGCTGGCAGATCTCTGTGAGTTCAAGGCCAGCCTGGTCTACATAGTGAGTTCCAGGCCAGCTGGGGCTACAGGGAGACCCTGTTTCAAAAAGACCAAAATCATCATCATCATCATCATCTACATATGAAGGAGGAGACCTAAAATGCTAGCAGTTGTCTAGATGATTTGACTGTGAATGGACCCTGTCATCCTTCTTCTTTCCCTTTCTCTCTCCCTGTTTAGCCTAGTCTGTCTTTGAATTTATAATCCTCCTGCCTTGGTGTCCCAAGGACTGGGTTTGCAGGTACCAGCAGGTCTGGCTGACTTTTGCTTCTTTCTAGTTACTAAGCTTTCTGTAGTGTTCTCATTTTACTACAAAAATAACTTCTTGTACATTTTCTACTTCAAATAGTTTTAAAGTGTTGGGCCCCCGGTCTGGGGTTCCCAACGTCCATGGAAGGTCGCACCCCAATGACTCAGTTCCAAGACCAGGAGATGCAACAAGCAAGAGGATTTAATCGTTTGCGCAGACGGGCTTCTGCCTCACTCGGAGAGAGAGCAGCAGCAGCCCAGAGCTCAGCTTACAGGCTTCTTTTAAAGGCAAAAACCACAAACCAAAACCGGCAGCAGTGGGAGGGGGAAGGTTCGGGTGATCTTCAGCTTGTGCACAGAGCATGAAAAGGTCAGCTTTTTTTCAGCAGTTAGATTTTACATCTTACTTCCTTGTACAGCTTCCCAGAACATTCTTCTTTGGTCTGGGGGACTTAGTTTGAATCCACTTTGACCTAGGGGGACTTTAGTTTGATTTCATCATTCTCCCCTTTTTTTATGGCAAGATTTTAATCATAAAATCTATAGGTTTTCTGGAAGCATCATAGCAGAACCAACAAGTTCAAGTGGTTTTAGGTCTAGTGACGTTAAGGAACAAAAACGACTGTTGTAACACCTGCAGCATCGGACTCATGGCATCTGGATGGCTAATTTTAGTCTGACCGGCTGCAGAAAAGTTTAAGACTGGAATGTTTAAGGTGGTGGAGTTGGCAAGCCGAAGTGTATGGCCCGTCTCAGGATTTGTCACCATCCATGTCAGCTGCATAGGCACATGAGGATTGTACCG